CTTTGACTTCATATAGATGGGGTTTATTTTTTTTTTTTTTTTTTTTTTTTTTTTTTTTTTTTTTTTTGTTGTTTTTTTTTATCATATGCAACGATTCCTTATTTATTCAAAACTAAGGCGGGGTTTCAAAAATTGTTATACATTATAATTTCTCTTTTTGAGCGCTTCTGGGAATATGAGAGAACGGACTAATTGCAATTCGTGGCAGGATTAAACATTTTTCTTAATAATTTCACAATATCTGGTTACGCGGAATATGAATGAATTTAAACAACAAAGCATATTAAGGCACAAGATATGAATGATGATCAGTGGATGATGCAGCTTTTTGAGCCACCGAGCGCCCCCTGCATGATAAAGAATGTTTAGCTTCTAGACCTTATGCGACAGAGAAACAAGCGTGGAGTCATCACTTAGAACTTTGTTTGAACTTTAAGCTGCAGAAGCAAGACCTGAAATCTGAAATAAAATACGGCTTTTAAAACTTGAAATAGTTAACCCTGGGTTATTCTAAACCCCAGGTACATATTCTATTTGCTATTACTATTAGCTATTCATCTATTATTATTATTATTATTATTATTATTATTATTATTATCATCATCATCATCATCATCATAATAATCATCATCATTATTATATTATTATTTGCTACTATAAATCAATTATTATTATATTACCTATTATTGTACTATTAATTGCGCACTATTTTATTTATCATATTATGGACTATATTTTCCTACAATGAATACTACATATACATTTTAATATTAATTTAATTCAATTCAAGTTTATTTGTATACAGCTTTTTACGATACAAATCGTTGCAAAGCAACTTTACAGAAAATTACGTTTCTACAATATTTAGTAGTAGCTTATCAGTGGTGACTGTCAGTTTATGTACATATGGCAGAAATGTACGGAAAAATCAATTAAAGACGTAATCAAACAGACGATGAACACTATTAACAGCAATTATTATATGATGAAATCAAACTTATAGCATTTGGTAGTTCTGCATGTTGTTTCAGGGTTGGCATCATCTGAGGTCCTCTGAGGGGTTGACATAATCTCTTCTCAACTTCTATCATTAATTATGAAACATTGGTTTTGTACAGATATGTTTCTGTACTAATTTTGCATGTTTTTTAAAAGATATTTTGCTTTTGCAAGGATGGCAGCATTCTAGAAATTTCTGTAACATTCTTTAATATTCTAATGCTTTCTGGAACATTCCAGAACATTGTGGGACTAGTCATAAATGACAAAAATCATCCAAAGGACACTTCTGAAGTTTTGGGCGATTCACTTTTGGTAACTTTGTTAAACTGTTGTTAGCTCAAGTATTATGCATGAACCATGCAATTTCTATGCATGAGTAATAAGAGATTGGCTTGCATAAGTTGTCAACATATTTTTTTTAGTTTTCATGAGCACTGTTAATGATACACAAAAAGTAATGTGATTTTCATATTCAGCATGTCACTTAAAACTTCATAAAGAAACATTAAAAATAAAAGTGAAACAAAACTTTAAAAAAATGTTTCACAGCGTTATATTTGTTATTGTTTGTTTTGAAGTATATACAGTTTCAATCCATAAATTATTCATACCCTTGGTAAATATGATCAAAGAAGGCTGTGAAAATTAATCTGTATCATCAATCCTTTAGATATTTTATTTTTAAAATTTACTAAAATCTAACCTTTCAGTGCAGAATAAGAATTTAAAATGGGAGAGAAATCTCATTATGAAATAAATGTTTTTCTCTAATACACATTGGTCACAATTAATCATACCCTTTTATCCAATACTTCATACAGAATCTCTCCAGACCCTTCAGATTTCCAGCTGCATGTTGATGCTTCTCCTCTTCAGTTCACCACACTCATCTCTATAGGGTTCAGCTAAGGGGAACTGGGTTGGCCAGGGCAGAATGTTGGTTTTGTTCTCAGTGACCCATTTTTGCTTTGATTTTGATGTTTGTTTTTGGATCATTGTCCTGTTGGAAGATCCAACCATGGCCCATTATAAGATTTCTAGCATGGACAGTCAGTTTTTAATTTTTTATCCATTGGTATTTTATAGAATCCATTATGCCATCTATCTGAACAAGATATCCA